GTTTCCTCATAAACAACAAAAATAAAATGAGCACTGGATGTGACCTCTGTAAACCAGATACCAGCTCAGAAGAAAACATGGAGTGAAGAGCAGCTGGCATGGAAGGGAAACAAAAAGCACATTTGGAAGTGGAGGTATGTGTTATTGTTGAATGTTTGTGACTTCGTACCTCCTTCTACTCCTATCATGCAAATAGCTGTTGAAGCAGGAACTGATTCATGCGCTAGGTACTAGGCACCAGCACATGGCACCAACCATGGGAGGGGAAATGGCCTGGTGGGCTGGGGGACACGGGCTTTTTAGGAGCCAGTTGCTTCCTATGGCCAATGCTTTATTTCTCATACACTTTCCCTGTTCTTATGCAGAGTGTACCAGCTGGTTCCCTCACTAACCTGTTCTGTATTAGGAGTCCTTGTCCAGTGCCSAGTAGTAGAGCAGGGAAGAGTTTTCCTCCACGGGATCATCAGCATGCCTGCRTTTCTCTTCGGCTTGTGCTATCATTCCTGGGAGCTCTCATTTTACACAGATGGCTGCAGAAATGCTGCTGCAGTGGAGACAGGACATTCCCTGTCAGACTGCCCATCGAGGTCTTCTGGCGTCTCTCAGCACRCCTTACAGATATTTTCAGCAAAACTGACAACATCACTGGAAAGCTACACATCTTATAGTGAATGTTTTCCAATATTAATGTCCTTTTGTCTCTGCCYATACTGGGAATGCTCACTTCAGCATTCTTTGCATAGATTGTTTCAATGGAAGTACTCTGCTGTGATGAACAAATGCAGTCCCGTCCCATTAACTGACTGGAGGATTATGATGGCTTTATTTTATCCACTTAAGAAGTGCCATACAACAACATCCCTGAGAGGCAGCATACCGTTAACCCTGTGGGTATGACATCCAGTGAGAAACAACTTACAAAATGTGGAATCCAGGAAGCATTAGGGGCCTAGGTCAAGGAAATGTTTTCTGTCAAGCYCTAAAGGGCTGGACTTAGATCTCGTACTGTCCAGGCTTCAGTTCTGAGAGGAAGCTGTCCTCTGGAAGATGTGAATAAGTAGGCCTTCTCCAGCATGTAAGGCTGTGAGGCACTTTCCTGTTCAGTGACAGCCACAGGCTTCACTACTAGGAGAAAGTACAGTAAGCCACATGTTTGCTGAGTGTTTTGCAGTTTGTACTGGGACTATGCCCTTTAAAATGGCAGGTGTGTCAGAAAACAAAATAAATTTTCCTGTTGTGTGCAGGTACAACGCTTCTGTGTATCAGGGTGCTGATGGCAATAATAGGGCTTAATGGCTGTGACTTAGCCTCGCCTTGGGCCTCTGCACACACCTCTGTCCATGGACCTAGGGGCCCCATTTCAGCTAAGCCTAGGCCCTTGGTCCCTGGCCTAGCTACCCTGGAGGACTGCTGGGCTCCAGCTCAGCCACAGTTGTACATCTGCCTAACTGTGGACCTTACTGATCTATACCCCACCCAGTGGCTTGATTTTCTGGCTTGACCTTGGCCCTGCCTCATTACCAAGCTATTGCTTCATTATCTAGACCCCTGGTTGGACCTGGCCACATCTCCAGGCCTGCCTTGCTTGTCTCGCTTGAGTACAATGGATGTAGGCCCTGGTCAGCAAAGTCTGCCTGATATGTTGAAGTCAAAGGAGGATAGCCTCTGACTTACAGGTGCCTCTTCCCTAGGGAGCAACCAACCTCAGCAGCAACCTGATGGCAAGCTCAGGCCTCACTGAGCGCTGAGCCAAGCACCAGGGACTGCCATGGTCTGTGGCCATAGCAGGGCCTTGCCTCTGTGACTCATTCTGAGGCACAGGCCTTGCCCTGGCTTCTGAACTCACCTTGGCCCTAATGCTTCACCCAACTCAACGCAAGTAAAGGGCACAGAGCTTATGTATGCCTCCTGTGCTGAGAAGGGTGACAAACTCAGATGTCTCACCTCTTGGCAAATGCTCTGGCCTGTCCATTGCTCAGCACCAGGTGGATAATGCTGGCACAGGCTTTGTTTTGGTGACTGGGGCTTTTGTGCTCTATTCTGAACTCGGTGCTGTCTAGGCACTTCCCCCTTTGCAGCATTCTAACACTAAACAGCACGAATGCACTGTGGGAAGCCAAGATCAACCTTGCCTTCCTGTATTGTGAACAGCCACCTTTTGCCTGGTGATAGCACACTGGGACTCTCCACAGACCATCTAGGTGGTAAGCACTTTGCTTCTGTGCACCACATTGTATATAAGGGTCCAGTGCCTTTCCTTCAGACCTCTAGCCCTCCAACCCAACTGCTCTCTCCCAAGGTTTTGGTCTCTTGAAAATCACACCTTTTCTCATCCTATGGTCATCCTAAGATCTCCTACTTGTAGCTGATGTGAATGAATTCTCTCCTGCTTTATAGTTAATGATTAATATTCATATGTGCTGATGTTCAGAGACGRCTGCATGAAAAGGCTTGGGAGAGCATGGTGTCTCCCAGTGCAAAGCTAGAAACCTCCTTGCTTTCCCTCCAAACAAGGTGAGCAGAGTAGTGTGTGCCTGGCCTGGCAGAGGTTGGGGCCTGCAGTCTGAGAGCCTCTCACTGAAAATATCTCCAGTCTAAGGGAAGCAGTACCATTGCTAGAAACATATTGGGTCACCTGGATTTTCCTTCTCRTGCCCTCCAAGGATTTAGGTCAGAGTGAGGGGGAAAGTGAAATCTTGGCTGCTTTTCTCAGGTACTGGGCACAACTCTTCTTTTCCACAATCCAGCTAAAGCCAGGCTTTAAGCTTCCTAATTAAATCTTTGAACATTCTCATATATATTGTTCCTTCAGACTTGCTTTATTTGAGGTCAGCACTCACCATCTCATGGCCTGGATTCTAGAATGTGAATATAAACCCCAGGATCTTGCTCCTTTTCAGCTTGAGTCAGTTAGAACCACAACTGCAATCCTTTTCTGCTTCTCCCAGGAGTTGTTATGTACTCTACACTGAAAAAAAAAAAAAAAAATTGAAAAACAGAAAGTAATACCGGGAAGCAGGCACTTGAGTCCAAGGTCTCGCTTTCCAAGTGTCCTAGTCACTTGCCTATTCAGACTTAACTCTTCTTGAATTTTTTTCTCCATTCTGCAGTCTAAGCTGACAAGGCCTTCCTGACCCTTCTCCCATCATGTTCAGCACTTGGAAACACTAGGCTATGAGACTGTCTGCAGTTTTCTGCATTCTCCTTTGAAGAYCTATTTTTCTCTTCACCTACAGGTGATCTTCTCTTGGAATTGCTTTCATTTGTATGTGCATGGGGTTAGAGACTGTCCAGAGAGCCAGGACTTCACACGCATTCCTGTGCTTGCCATTTCCTGGTGACTGKCTAACGGCTCTTCCCTGGACAGTCATGGGTGTTTCCAAGAGCTTTCTCAGTGACCTCAGGAGGGGGCCCTGGTTTTGAACTCCAGATTGGGTCCAGGATGCCCCAAATGCGGGTGCTGCAGAGCCAGTACATGCCTCGAAACAGGCTCTTAATGCACAGGGAACTGCCCGATTGGATTGGAATTGGATTATTACCTTGGATCCCACATATGATTTTCTGACCATGTGTCCATGTTATTCACTGAACTTTTACGAACCAAATACCATGACCAAGAGATGAACATGTTTTGATCAGACAGGATTTAAAACAGCTCAAGTGACAGTGCCCTTTTCCTAAAACTAGATCAGTTACTCACTAGGACTACCAGCAAATTCCTCCTTTCTCAGAGTATCAGCATTGTACTGCTTACCACGTCTAGGGCTCTGGGATAAGCAGTCTGTGTTTCTAACTCTACTCAAACTGTGAGAATGTGTGAGATATTTGCAAAGAGATGGGACTGTTGGCCTGAGGCTGCATTGGAAGGCAGGGATGGGGGGTTGAATGCTGTGTGTGAGATGACGTGTGCAGTTGTGGCTGGTGTGGAAAGGGTGTTGTGGGAAGCAGTAGCCAGGCAAGACTGGACAGGAGCCTCTTCTGTTCCCAGCCTTGACTGAGGTCATTGGTTGATGTATGATGTTGTTAGTGAGCACGTGTATACCTGAGACAGACTTAAGCTGAGTAAATGGGGCTTATTTCCAAGGAAGTGGGAACTATTACTGCCTATTGAGGAGTGGTATATATAGTGGAGTGTGTGTTTTTGTGTATTGCAGAGAACCACATATTTYGGGGTGAAGTTATTCCCTGACCTAGGTTACTTCTGCATGTTTAACCCTATTTTCCCGCACAATATCTATACTAAACATGGAGAAACAGCAATGACTTTGAATAYTAGTGATATTAGTGACTTCCCTATTGCTACAAGTATTAGACATTAATTGTTACATAATATTTCTAGCTCAGCTCTGTAATAAAAGCATTACATTTATTAAAATCAGAAATATTTCCATATTAGGAAATATGAACGTCAGTAACGTTTTTCTGGTTTGGGCATGGCGAGTAGTTTGCTTGAACCTATGTGGGATTCAAAAATCAGTTATTATAGAGCTCAACAACTGTAATCAAACATTCCTCTACTATGTACCAGTTGAATTTGGTATTTTTTGCAAAATATTAAGTGCAGATACTCTCACAGACAGGTTTTGTTTTTATGATAGCCAGGGAGATATTAAAAAAAAAAAAAAAAAGATAGCTGTTATCTGCGCTGTGCAGCAGGGATATGCCAAAAAAATCTGAGCTGGGTCAAGAAATAAGTCACTAGAAAAGTCAGCAATAAAATCCACTAAGTAAGACCTACATCCAAGTTCTCTAAGTGCCTTGACTAACAGAGATTCTCTCCTTAAGACTCTTGTCAAATTATTTATAGTAGATATTTTAACATCATTGGTAAGATATAAAATATTTCTAAATATATCTGGTCAAATCAAATGACAATTATACCCTTACTCCAGTTTGCCAGACAATACTTTGCCAAAGAAAGTTTGCCAAAAAATGTTTTGACCGAAGAAAGAGGAGAAATCCAGAGCATCTTCATTACAGACTCTATATAAGCCTCTTTGGAGTGCTCTGCCCCGTCTCCAGAAAAAAGTTTCAAGGTAAGTGTGCTGTGTGTGGAAATTTGTTAAAATCAGGCATCCCCCTTTCTTGCRTATTTATGCAGTGTATTCTTACCACAGCAACTGGCTTCCAGCGTTTCCATCTGCTGTCAAGGAGTCATAAGATTTTTAATGATAACTTTTATTTTTTTAGTTTTACATTGCAATCAGAAGATGCCTTTTTTTTTCTTTTTCTTTTTTAAACTTAGAGAAAYTGTGCAATCTGTCCAATGCCACAAGACACAAAATCAATTTTTTAAAAAAGTGCCTCCCTCTTATTCAGGATTTAATATAGTATATTTCTCTTTTGGCTTCCAATTATTAGATAATAGGAATCATATTTTTATTAGAGACTTCAGACTTCATGTTAGAACTTCGTAAGATATAGCCTTGCTAACAAAGAATATTTTTGACCCTCTGAAACAGCATTTCTCTTCCCACACAGGGTCCTCTGCTGACGTGCTTTCAATAAAGTACAGGAATGGCTTCTGGAGATGCTGAGATGGCTGCCTTTGGGGAGGCAGCTCCCTACCTCCGCAAGTCAGAAAAGGAGAGAATCGAGGCCCAGAACAAGCCCTTYGATGCCAARTCATCAGTGTTTGTRGTGCATCCTAAAGAATCYTTTGTGAAAGGAACAGTCCAGAGCAGRGAAGGAGGGAARGTCACAGTCAAGACTGAAGGTGGAGAAGTAAGTACAATACAAGCTTCAGAGCAGCATTTACTTCTCCCTCCGAGCTCTTAGCTGACATGCATGGATCTCTCATTTCCTTGGCAGACTCTGACCGTGAAGGAAGACCAAGTCTTCTCCATGAACCCTCCCAAGTATGACAAAATCGAGGACATGGCCATGATGACCCACCTCCATGAGCCCGCTGTGCTGTATAACCTCAAAGAGCGTTATGCAGCCTGGATGATCTACGTAAGTACAGGCATCGGTCTCCTCTCAAGSAGCTAGCAAGAAGCGCTGCCCCAAGGCAGGTGGAAGCCAACTTGCTGTGTCCTGTCCTTGCAGACCTACTCGGGTCTCTTCTGTGTCACTGTCAACCCCTACAAGTGGCTGCCGGTGTACAACCCGGAGGTGGTGTTGGCCTACCGAGGCAAAAAGCGCCAGGAGGCCCCTCCGCACATCTTCTCCATCTCTGACAACGCCTATCAGTTCATGTTAACTGGTGAGTTGTTTGGTTTTCTTCAAAATTATTTGGACACAAATACTCTCATGAAGATTTTTTTTCTCTGAAAATGGCACAATTTTTTGAGGATGTTGTGAGGATGAACATCCTCTCATTGCAAACATTTTCTTTATTCATGCCAGGTTTACAACATCCAAGGCTATAACTTACTATCCAAGATATCTGGGAGTCTATAGTTTAATGCTGAAAACATTGTCCATTTTYCCTTCAAATATTTGGAATATACTTCGATTTGCTTATTAGTAGGATTGTACTATTAATAATTTGCTTTGCAGGATTGCAAGTCACCTGGGTGGAATTCTTTGAAAGGATTTGGTCTTAATGGGATGGAGAACCAATATAAAACCCAATGCTTCCTACAGTGGTTGCATGAAACTACAGGGGCCAGGCTTAGCTTGATTTCACTGTGAAATCTGAACCTCAGAAAACTGGAGAAAACTCTCCTTATTCTGTCCAGCTACACAGCCTATGCYGTTAAACACACATAAGCTCTTTTTTTCAATTTTGCAATGCTCAAATGAGTAAAATGGAAAGGATCGTGAATTCTGGCAAGGTAGCTGTGAAAACACAGAAAGGCATGCAGAAAGAAAAATTTGAGAATCAAATTGCAGAAAGCATAAAAATTAATACTTAACATTTTTTAAAATATGTAAGAATCAGAAAGGCTTCAAACAGGTCTGTGGAGTCACTATGCAGTTCTTATTTAAAAAGACAACTTGGAAAATACAAGGCCATATCAAAACGGTTATATTAGCATTTATGTCCATTTATTATGAAGGCTCCTGAGAAGTATTCATTTCTGGAACTCTTTATTCTAGAAGGATTCCCCAGAGGAACCGCTTCTCACTGAAGTCTACTTAAAAGAAAGTAGAAAAGAAAATGGCAGAATAAATTTTTTGCCTGGCAAAAAATTGCCAGAATAAAATTCGCCCAGACATTCCAATGGAATCCTAAAGATGAACTGAAAACTCCTTGGAAGATGACTAAAGTTTCAGATTTTTTAAAAAATGATTGAGAACAGAAAGCATATCAGCAAGGGTGATAATCAGTTGTGACAGCCCAACTGACAGAAATTTCTAAATTACGTGTTTACTGGACTATGTGATTATGTGAGTATATGTTACTTACCAAGAAAAACTGATGCAGTTCTTTTAAAGGGAATGATGACTCACATATTCACTGCTTTTTTTTTTTTTTTTTTGAGCAAGGGAGAGTCCAAAGTATTATGCACAAAAACTCAACTCTACCTATAGAGAAATTAAAACTTGAATATTCTAGCACAGCATAGTATAGTTTAGGAAAGAGCTTCTACATGTTTGCCATTTCATTTTCCCTAGAAAATAGTTAACTAGATTCAGAAAGTGTAATCACATAATAGAGGTCATTGGTCTTACAGTTGGTTGTCCCTAAGTAATATATGTTGTGAGAAGCACTTTGAGTAGTTCATTACAGTTCACACATAGTATAGTACTTGCTKTACAGATAGTTCAATATGAACTGGCAATTCTACCTAAATATTCTTCAGTTTGGATACCTTTTTATATACAAAGATAATCTGGTCTGATGTGAAGAGAATATTCTAGAGGGAAAAGTAATGTACTACATGACATTCATGTCAATATTGATGAAAATAAAATGCCATTTATTAATAATGATAGGTAAGAGACTAAAGGATTATAAGAGCTTGGGTGGAATTACAAAGGATTTGTAGAAGGTATAGGCTTTCTAGTACTTGTGGAAATTCCATAACTAGCTTCAACTAATGTTTTTATATGAGGTGTTCATGTGCATCTCTGTGTTTTTCTCACAGATCGCGAGAATCAGTCAATCCTGATCACGTACGTACATTCCCTGCTCCAGTTCCCAAAGGGTGGCTCTGTGCTAGGGGACCTGCTGCCTSACCATACGTTCTCTGCTTCTCTCTCTYTTGCTTCCCAGCGGAGAATCYGGGGCAGGCAAGACTGTGAACACCAAGCGTGTCATCCAGTACTTTGCAACAATTGCAGCGAGTGGGGAGAAGAAGAAAGAGGAACARKCYGGCAAAATGCAGGTGATGTGGGGAGAAGGGACTGAGCACTTGCCCTGTAATGGCCCCATGGATTAAACGCTGTAAACTAACAAGACTTATTGTGTTGTAGGGCACGCTTGAGGATCAAATCATCAGCGCCAACCCCTTGCTGGAGGCCTTTGGAAATGCCAAGACCGTGAGGAATGACAACTCCTCACGCTTTGTAAGTTGTTGCTTGGGACAAAATCTCTCCCTCTCCTTGCAACACTCACAATGGACCTTGTGCTATTCCCACCAAGGGAGATGGCACCGCAGTGCAGCTAGGCTGAAATGCTTCTTTTTCCCTTCGCAGGGCAAATTCATCAGGATCCACTTTGGAGCCACAGGGAAACTGGCTTC